GCTACGCTAAAATACCTACAGTCCCTTAATAGGATCTGAGCCATCGAGATCCAACCTTAAGCTTCTTCCCGGCCCCTACCACTCATCTGAGTGCCATAAAGCTGCCAGAGGAAACAATACTGCCTCTCTCCTCACCGCTGAGGTTAATGGCAAATGGGGCTATGGCTGCCGGTGATATTGTTGGATAAATGATTATTGATTAGGTAAAGGTTGAGCTAATCATTAGGCTTCATCCATTTTACGGACTCTCTCCGTGACCTTTCTGCCTGGCCCTGTGGATCACCAGGATTTCTCCATACGATGATTTGATCGCAGATGGGCACAGGGGAGGAGAGGAAAAGTGGGGGAGGAGGAGGAAGGAAGAAAGAGAAAGAAAAAGACGGCAAGAGGGAGCTATGAGGGAGCAATGGAAGAGATGAGTGTGCTGAATGTGCATGTGTGCTGATATGGATGATGAAGTCACTCAGATACTCCACCTGTCCACCAAATGTGCAGCATTTGCAGCGTGCAATTATACTCAATTTAAAAATGCGTATATATAGCATATATAATGTATTACTAAACACAGACGTACTAAATTTACTGCCCACTAAATCACACCAGGTTGAAGCAGTGAGTCATTTTAGGGAGGTTGGTTGCAAGCTAAGATGAAAGACAATTTTATAGGTCAAAACATCAGCGAGCCTTTGAATTACACTCATAAATACTTCGACAATGTTTCTGTACATCGTGTAGATGCAGGTACCATGACTTTGGTTTTATATAAATAGATATATATATATTTTTTTAGAATTACAGAACCAGTTTCACGTTCGTCAAACACGTGCTTAACTTTCACATTTGGAGATTCTTATCATGACTGTATGAGACCAGATCGACTGATATTGTTGGTAATCGTATTATGAAAACGCCAACTACCTTAGAAATGTCAGTGCAACAGAGAATGAACATTTGGTCATCAGTTGGTTAACTTTTTTGTCTTCTTATCAAGCTTAGTTAGACCTTTGATAGTTCAGTTAATAACAGGAGCATATCTGCATCCCACGATTGTCCAAATGGTGTTAAAAACAATACGTAACGAGACACATAAATGAATAAATCCTAGGTCCACAGTTTTATGTATCGCCGCTGAAAGCCCCATAGCAATCAAACCGTAATGCATACATGTGTAAATCCAAGTCTAAATTCAAATTCAAATGAATCATTTAATCTGCCCCTGCAGCTTTTCAATAGTCACAGTGTTTTGTATTGAGCTGAGTGTAGAAGCTAAACACTGGATAGGCAGAGTGAAAACACCCAATGTGAAACATCCGCTCTGAAACCTTGACATGGTGACAAGGAAATGCCTTGCTCCTAACAGCTCTATTTATTGAATTGTAGCAAATATTCCTGGCAGCAGGACTTTAACCAAACCCAGACTGGAGCTCACATCTGCACCCAATCACAGCAGAAAACCCCTCTGTTCCTTCTCCATTTCATTTATTCACAAAGCCCGGCACTTGGAAACATAATGTTTATTTGAAGTAATACTTTACTCTGAACTACTGGATGGCAATACGTTAGCATTTTCATTGCTGCATGCAGAATTTGTTCGGGAGAATAATGAAGACTGTGATTTTTTTCCTCTTCTCTCCCTCTCTCTGCTAAAACAACCACAAACTGTTGGTATGCATGTAAAACACATATATGCTGCCTCTTTTTTTTAACGGATTGCTTGTGCATACGCCGTTTACCTCATTCAATCTGGCAACAAAAGAAAGAGTGTTTTCTGAAAATTCTAAAACAACATATTTGCACATTTGGGAATGGGAGTATTATGTACACTGCTGAATGTAATTTACAAATGACATCACACATTTTATCATCAAATCGTAATTTTTATTGACTTTTTCAACTATTGAAATACTACAGGACACAGTCATGTTTTGTTTGATTGTTTTTACTTACTGTACACGCTAATGTTTTAACAATGTACAGTATGATTATGCACATACAGAACACACACACACACACACACACACACAGGGACAAAGGTTTACAAGCACACACATTAAATAAGCATTTGCAGAAGCAGCAGGTTAAGACAATAATTAAAGTGAGCTAATACAACAACGGTGGACAATTGAATGACTTGAATAAAATCAGTTGTGCTTTGTTATTGTATCTTTTGTCGGGCGTGGAACACAGAATTACAAGGTTCAGCTATGATCCTAGTATAAGGATGTTTAGGTCTCAGATAGTAAAAGCTTACTGGCTTCATTTTACTGTAGGTTAGATAATATTTTTGTACAGATGCAGCTGTATGGGGTTATTAAATATATAACAAAGGAATAAAATATTACATTTTATATATATCCCTTTACTAATTTATTTTTGGTGTTCCTTTGGTCCCCTTTCTGCTCACATAGTTGCTCCTTTTTTCTCTATTTCTTTTTTTTTTTTTCCCCTGGAATGCTTGAGATAGCTTGTAGCTCCTGTATTCACGAGGAACCTGCGATGGCACAGGCAGACACAGACTCTGTTAAGTGGACTCATAGTCAACAATTATCTAGCTCAAAACTTTATTAGATTTTCAGATTCCTACATACTAAAACTTTGGCATTAACTCTGCAGTATCTTGAGTTCAAGGCTGCATGACATTGATAAAAAAAGGCATGTGATATTTTGCTGTTTTACAACATTATTTGTCATATAAAGGCACTTTCACCAGATTACTTGAATAACTTTATTTTAAAAAGAAGTAATCATTCTAGTTGGGAATCTTTCTCCTGTGTGTAATGTTGGCAAATGCATACAGAATAGTGTTTTGCTTTGGATAGATCTGGATTAGCACTAGTTATGTGAAACTTGTGAAATTTGTTGTGTTGTCTCGTGTAGTAGCAGCTACTGCACAACACTGACAGCAGACCCTGTTTGGGTCAACATCACTCTTTGGGAATATTTCTATACAACTGACTCTTTGTTTCTTTTTGCAACCTAATCTTCCGTTTCGGTATTTTTCTCTTGTGCCTCACTTATTATGCACATGTGGAACCTACATGTCAGCAAACTCTATGTTGTTTAAATTGAGTTAAAAAGACAAAAACCAAAAAGCATTATCTACGCACTCCAAATAGAGACTAAACAATGTTTCATCAGACAGACTTCTCTTCTAGATTAGAGATGAAAAACATGAGAACTGTGCAAACTTCTTTTATTGCCAAGCAGCAAAAAGTTGTAGCATGATGTTTGAGTTAATTTACTTTCTTCTCGTTGCACTTCCCACAATGTGACTATTGCACATGCACAAATCGTAGTGTCGATGCTGAAACAATATATTGGGCAGCCCTACTTGAGTTGCCAATAAAAAATGAATTCTTGCTAACAAACCTCAGCTCGGCTGTGTAACTACATAGTGTATAAGCCAGTGGTAAAGATCTTTTTTCAAGTGGTTAGTGAGGGTTTAGAATTTCTGGTTGTGCAACGAATGGTTTGTTGTAGAACTAACTTCTTGTTTTGTTTTACGGGGGGAAATCAATAAGTGGATAAGTGTTGAAATGAAATATCCAACAGCTACTGGATGGATTGGTGCATACATGGTTCCCAGAAAATAATAACTACCAAAGGCATTCATCATTTCCTCACTTTTTAAGGATTGCTCTGGATGGATAAGTAAGTTGATGGTTGGATTGCCATATAAGTCATTGCAGACCTTCATGTTCCTGTCAGAGTTAATTGTAATAACTGATATTTACTTGACTTCCCCTTTAGCACCATCGTCAGCCCAGTTTTCAACTTTGTTTTTGACCAAAAATCTGCAAAACTGATACTATCTGTTTGAGCCTGGGCTGAATTTTTGTCTAGTCCAAGTGAACAACTTAACATTCACCCCCATTTTTATAATGAAATACAAAAAAATAAACGTGGGAAGCATTTTGGTCTTTGTACTCTTAAGGTAAAAAGAGAATTACTGTTTTGCTGTGTACACGCTCTTTACAAACTATTGCTGCTGCTTCCGCTTGTGTTGCTGTGGTTTTGATATAATGGGAAGTGTTACAGGCTGAGGCTTTGTGCTTTCAAACAATGATTCAGAGTATGGTGATGCCATTCAAAATACAGAGACAGGGTTTTTTTATTTAGCCTGTGTTCAGGCTGATGAATCTTTTGTAGCACAGTAAACCTATACTTGCTAAACATCAGCACTGTCATTGAGTATATAGCCATGTTAGCAATTAGCCTGCTCTCACAGTATGGTTCTATAGACTTCTAGGCTTATTGAAAAAAGAAAAAAAAAGTCTGACAGAACCGCATTCTAAAGTCACAAAAGCAGTTTCATTTCATTTAGTTCTGTTTTAGATTCATTGCCCTCCTCTAAGCAGCTGAGCTGGCACACTGCTGACACCGCTTTGACACCCCGAGACTTGCTGATGATTCCAAGACGAAGCGATGTGATCTCATTCTATATTGGTATATATCTCTTCAGGCTACATTTAGGTGAAAGCCAATTCATCTGCACCTCTTGTCAAGCGGCCCTCTCTTAGCCAAGAAAAGAAATTCCTCACATTCCGCTCGCCATCTGAATATTGTCACTCTCTCCTTCCCTCATCCTATGTCTTGTATTCTTTTCTCCCCATCGTTTATTCCCCTTCCTTTCTTCACCTCTTATACCCCTGCCATATTTCATTTAAATATTTCATCCAGTTGTCTTGCGGCTGCTGCGGCTTGCCAAGTGTCATCTAGATCCAAGGGCCCGACATTAAAGTGGAGCACGGAAGTCATTTTTAAAAGGCGTGTGTGTGAGCAAGAGAGAGACAGAAAGAGAAAAGGAAAGGGGGTGGGATGGGAGGGAGAAGTAGCTGGGCCGGAGCCTGAGATGTCAGGTGGTGATAAGAAGTGAAAAGGTGGAGAAGACAGGGGAGTGATAACTAATGTACTTCCTGTGTACTTCCTCCTCTCCCCTGTCAACCCCTCCCACTCCAAAGACATAACTGATGTGTGATGATTTGTGTGTCTGCGAGTGTGTGTGTGTGAATGTGGGGTAATCTGATGTGTGATGTAAAAATGTTGGGCTCCGCATGAGTGTGAAGATGTACATTTGGGTGTCTGCCGGACGAACTGATGGGTGATGGGGAGTGTGTGTGTCAGAGACTAACTGATGGGTGACGTGAAAGTGGTGTAGCGAGGGATGGCGAGCGCAGATGACTGAAACATCTACTTAGCAAAGACTAATGCGTTGTATGCGTTTGAAAGAAGAGTGTGTTTCTTTGCACCTAAGTGTGTGTGTGTGTGTGTTTGCGTGCATATGGTCTCATACCCTGGCAGACTGCTGGTTCCAGTTGAGGTCAAACGCACCGGATCAATGAATGATCTTGCAAATCACTGCGCCAACCTGCAAAACGTAGAAGAAGAAGAAGAAGCAGAGGAAGCAAGACGATGAGATTGTGGCCACGAAATACCAATCTGCGTCGTCCTTCAGCCCTCCAAGTAACTCCAAACTCTTGTTGTAGTTTAGATCGTAACTGTGAAAACATGACGACAAACACGGTTTGGCTTTTAACACATTTCTCCCTTCGTTGGCAGGTAGCTCGCCCCCCCCCCCGACATACACCGCTTCCCGTTACAACACTATAAACCATGGTATAATACGTTAGGAGCGGTAAAATCACATCAGCTGTACATCTCTATTTTCCTGCAGAGAGGATCGCCTCATCCCAAGTGTAAATGAAAGTCATGCTTCTGTCGCTACTGCGTAGGTTGATGGGGTGAGCTTGGCGTGTTTTATAAATAGAGAAAAGATATGAAAGGGAAGAGAGAGAGAGGTTTAACGGAGTAATGATTAAACGTGTAGCCATGTCCACCCGGTTGCTAATACTGTACCTATTAATACGGCCAGCATCTGTAGTGTAAGGATGTGTGAAACGCACAACATTAATGCAGCGACACAGAGCTGCTACGAAAAATAGAAGAAAATCACCAACAACACTTACACAGCTACAAATCAAACTACAAGTATGCGATTTTAGGATTAATCCTCATGTGATATATGTTTTTGCACTCATTAATAGTATTTATTGGGTCAAACTGGCCCAGAACACAATAGCCAAATGATTTTTTTTTGTTTAACTCTGTCACATTTTTTCCCCTTCATATTAGTAGCAAACCTTACATTTGTGTCAGCTCATAGTTCTCCTGGTCACTGATCATTCCATCTGTGTGTAGCATTCTCATAAGCATCATATTTTCGCTTCTACTAGTGTCAGCTTGATGGCTCCTTGTCCCACACTGCTGATGCATCATATCCAACGTTACCCAACAATTACGAGATTGTGTGTGTCTCTTTTTAAGCGTGGCAGTGGGTGTTTCATAGAGTTTTAGACGATGCAGTGAAAAAAAAAAAACACCGGCCTGCCGGAGTAATAACAAAAAATTAACTCAAAGCTGTCAAATTGCCCTGATCAACAACAGAGGAGGGACACAATTATGCATGGCGCACAACAAAAACTATTTATTGTACAAGAAAAAGATGAAGAAGTTCCATTCTAAAAAAAATTACAGAAGCAATCAGGTCATTTTAACCTGAACACACTGTTAAAACTAAACCAGCATTTGGTTTTATTTTGAGTGTCAAAACACTCTGAGGAGAATATATCTCTTGGTGTATTTTCACAATGATTTAGCCCATTGGTTCTCACAATCAGGGTCTTGTATAGGTGTTGACCCGGATGCTCCGTGCAAGGGCTGCAACGGGTCAAGAGACAATTACTGAAATAAAATAAAATTCAACATGAAATTCTGCTTTTCATGACCATCGCTTTATTTTCTTTGAGATTTCAAATGAGGCAGCCCAGTACTGAAAATCCAGCTGCTTACAATCCAAAGGCACGATATGAGAGTTTGGAAGCAGATGTTGCTTTATGTTAGGAGGTTACAAGTAAGAAATGCTGAGAACCGATGTTTTAGTCTATACCGTATAAGCCTTTAATTTTTACTTGAGTGCCAGGAATTGGATTTATAATGACCATAACCCTTCATTTGTATCAGTGGGACTAGGGGGCATAATTAGCACTCTGTAGTTATGACTCTGTAATTTGCTTAAAATCACCAGTTTGTGCAACAGAATTTTGTAAAATGATAATCAGTCAAATAGTATCAAGAGCAAAAACAACGTGAATTAGTCAGAATAACATTTTTCTTGACCACCAGAAACATGTTTTATGAATAGAGAGATATAAATGGATACAAGGAGAAGGGACGTTCTCTGAAAGTAGCTTTATGTTAGATACGATACGACACACACACACACACACACACACACACACACACACACACACACACACATGCATGTACATATTTGGCCTATTCAGACACTATAATTCTCCATTTTAATGTTTGACCTCTTTCAAATCTATTTTCGTTTGCCGCACACACACACACACACACACACACACACACACACACACACACACAGTACCAGACCTGTGTGTTTCTGCACATATGAGGTTTCTGTTCCGCTTGCCAAGCTGCTCACTGACCCCCCACATGTGTGTTTGACCTTTCAACTCTGTGCTTCCCCCTCAGGAGAAAGGCGCTGCTCTCTGATGCACCTTTGTACATCCCACCACACACAAATACACTGATCCATTGAGTGTGTGGATTTAGCTTTGCGGAGCGACTCCGGTCAAGCTTGTGGTCACCCACAGTAACAGATAAAAGGATATATCACTTCCTTAGTCCCTAAAACCACAAGTGTGGGCTGCTGGACACACACATAAATACGCACACATACACACCAGGCACTGAGCTCCTGAGTCCTCAGCTTAGCACTTGATCCTCTCTCTGGGAGGTTGACAGTTCAGAAGGAAAGGCTTTACAAACTCCTTCGGACTACACACACACACACACACACATGCACCCCTCATAGGACACACAGTGCATCCCTGTGAGAGTCCAGAACCTTGGAGGCCTGATCATGGTGATCTGCTGGTCACCATCTGTTTACTGTCGAGGACACTGCTTCCTATTTCCACGACCATCAGTCATCACTTCGCACACATGAAAATCCGCATCTCAGCATTTGAGGAGCAGGAGACATATTGAAAAAATCACGCCAGTGAGCAATCCTCTGTGTCACTAAATATCCTAAAGCTAGGACTACTCACTCTCTGCAGAAGTGGAAAATCATTTGAGCATATTGACCTCTCCACTTGCCTCCCCCGAGGTAGGGCAGATTGTTGGCCATTTCAGCCCCGGCAGAGGAGCGCTAATTCAGACAGGCGTGGAACAGGCGCGGAGCAGACATGACTCCAACGTGGATGTCAAGTCAGCTAACATCTTCACAGGGCCCAAGGGCACCTGACTGCCAGTTTGTAAGGGAGAAACTGTGGCCACTGCACCCCAGGGTGCCTACATTTAACACAGTATCCTATCTATTGTGTGTGCGGAGGCATGGACAAGCATATAGATATTGGTTCAATATGAGGTCAGTGTGAGTTTACATGAAGAGGGTTGTATGAGTATGACAGGAAGCATGCACACACATAAACACAGTTCAAGTGCATGAAATTCTAAAGTGTATTTTAACTGACAGATGTTTGTCTCGTGGCTTTATTTCAGGGAGAATTTTATCATACTATAACTCCTACTCAATCCTGTTTCCTATGAATTGTTAATGTACATCTAATTTAATTTGCCAAATTTGGGTGATGGGTGACAAATGGAAAATTAAAATTAAAAAATTAAAATGATATATATAAAAAAATAAAAAATTTAACATCAAGAGGAATTATACAACTGGATGGCCATATAAAAGGATTTTCTGTGATATTTAATGGAGCCTTTTGTCATTATCAGTGTCAGACTGAGTGTGTTCTTCTGGCCAGAGAGCGCGAAGAGCAAAGGTTGGGAGACGTCCACGATGTGGAGGAGTTTTAAAAACGTCATCCTCTCCATCACTGCATGTAGATTGTCCAGCTCCACCCCCAGACCTGAACCGGCCTCCTTTGTAAGTTTATCGAGTGTCTTGACGTCATCCATCCTCAGGTTTTTGCTCCAGAAAAAGAAGAACGAGCAGCAGTCTTCTACAAGACACTGCCTGATTTGGTGTGACGACAGTGGTGGAGAGTTCTGCCTGCACAGGCCAAAGTACATGACTTAGATCACTGTCATACTCACTGTCTAGGCAGTGACGCAGTAGAGTCATCTGGCTGTTCCAGGTGGCTATTTTTGATAATTGTGTATGTTTTAAAGTGGGGGTTTTCAAAGTCTTGACGTAGTGATTTACCACTTAATCCAGCTTAAGAAAAAAACAAAACAAACCAAAAAATAGTTATGTTCCAGCATCCTTGTTAAGCTTCTTTAATTTGGTGGTGTTCAAATAGTGAACAAATCAACACAGCTTTGAGTCTGTATAGGACTTGTTTATTATTAAAAACATCCCAAAGTTTAACCAAGCATTTTTAATTGCCTTAACAAATCATAACTGTATTAATTAGGCTTCAGAAATCTACAATTATAGGAAGAAAAAAAAAAACAACGGAAACTGACAGTGATCATTTTCCAGGTGCTTTTCGATGACTTAACATTTTGCATGGGATATGAACATTGAGTTTTGTCATTTTCTTTAAAATAAATGGAATTCCACAACATGTGCTAATGCAGGTTACTCCTACATGAACAGAGCATTTGCCGAAATTGTTTTGCACATCTTTTAATCTCATCCCTGATTTTAACACTCAAAACTAAACGTCTCCACTTTGCTTTCTGTGCATGTCTTTAATAAAGTAAAATAAAATAATAAAATATTTATCAGGTGTCTCTTACAGGGTAGTGGTGGGCTCAATGTGGGTGGATGAGGGAGGCATTAATGTAACAGTGTCGCAATAAGACGAACACTGGGTGCAGTGAAAGTACCTTTGGGCTGATGTGACATAAGCATCGGCTCATGATTTGTGTCCACTGCCCTTCTCAGTGTGGAGTGGTTCCTACACACTCGCCCTACATCCTTAAATATACTGGTTCCCTCCTGAGTGTTTCTACAGTGTAGTGCTGTGTTTGCATATAGCCAGTAATTACATAATACGTATAAGATATAACAAAGAATGGTATGGCCTTGGGTCTTGGATTTAGTCCAGGTTAGACAGATAGACCTGTCTCAAGTTTATGTTTTGGCAAAATCAGTCAGGGTTTAGGTGGTAAAGGGAAGGTATAGATTATTGCAATGTGTGCTCACACAGTAAGGCGACAATGAAATGAGTTCTACTTGTGTAACTATGACCCATTGTACTTCTCTTAATTCTTCACATTTAATGAAAGATTCAATAACACAGCTTTTTTTTTTTTTTTTTTTTTAATGGGGCCTGAAAATAAAACCCGATTCCACTCAATAAACAC